AATTTGCATCTTCAAAATCTTTTTCTCTTCAAAAGCTACAAGTGTTATACTCGACGTGCATGTCATTGCTTCATCTTCAATGGAAGTCTTTGTTTTCCTGGCGACTCCTCGTTTTTTTTTTTTTTTTTTTTTTTTACAAACAAACGTAATTTCTCTGCCCTGTTGTTAATTAATTCTATGCGATGCATTTTTTTATTTTCATCTTATCTAAAAATTGTTTTTGACATTGATAATTGAATTATCGCTAAGGAAGTTTAATCTGATAAGAAATAAATAAAATTTTAAAGAACGCATTTATGCTAAAACGTATCTTCTGATTTTTTTTTCAGAAATTATAACAAAGAGAGACATAGCATCGTGCATGTAGCAATTAAAATATATATTCAGTTTTATTATTTAAAAAATTATTTTATCATCAAAATACATTAACAAATAAAGCTGTCATTGATTAAAATATACATACGATACTTTGGAAAAGCTTCATATGGATGTTAAAAATATTAAAAAACATTTCGATTAATAGAATATACGCTTTACAAAGAGCTGTAATGCAAGCTGTAAATACATTCTACTAGACGAAGTCGTTGTGTAACGATTAATCGAATGCCCATTCAGTGGGCGCCTTCGAGTCCAAGGACATCGAGTCTCACGTAGCGCGACAACGCGTTCCCAAATAAAGGAAGCCAGGTGATATCCTCGCCATTTTCCTTCGCATCACCTCGGCCCGTTTCCAACCGTTTTGCTCGTTGCCGACCCTCTCTCTGGATATAGCCAGGTGTATCGATCGCGCTTGGTCTAGAATCTAGAAGACTGAATTTCGTTTACTATTGCGATTATTATTTGACGACGATTTATATTTTAATTTCGATATTTACGCGCGGATGGATGTATTAATGAATTATAAAGTTATTTTATTTAAAAATATTTTTTATCGCCGATATATATTGACTTTTTAGGAGTAAATGTGCACAAGCTTCATTAATATTACTGGTTGTAAAGTATAATGAATTTAATGTTACCAGTTTTAACTACTTTTTATAGCAATATCGCTATTTCAAGATCAAGTTCGTTAACAGGAGGAATTTATGAACAAGATCTATTTTCCAGACAGAGTGCGGTCAATTTGTAGTCTTCATTTTCTGAAGTTTCATGATCTGTATATCACTTTAATTACTTATCTTAATTAATTTAAAAAAGATATCTCTCAAATTTACATTTAAACAGGATGTTTAATTAACCATTATAGTCATTATTCTCATTTACTAGAGTAATAAAATACATTTATGCGAATACATTTTTATAAGATAGCATTTATTTTCTATATGTTTGAAACTTTGTTATAAATGTTCACATTGTAATATCTTTAAAAATTATACATTTTGTCAATACAGTCAACTATTATGATAGAATCGTGCATTTTGTAACAATGGCCATAATAGTTCTCATCTCCTATTAGAAGTCAGAATGTCTTATCACATTCGAAGGCTGTTATCAGCCTTGCGATATATGTAATCTATAAGCGCATTCATTTGCACTTGAATTCATTAAAGACGTTTTTCTTTCCAATCCTTAAAAGAGAGAAATAAAATATTGCTGTTTTTAAAATTCGTAAATAATATTTAAAACGGCATAATTCGTTTTTTTTTCTTCTTTCAGGAAAGTTCATTTTATTTTTAGCACATGTAATAATTTTTGGATTTCAAGATTGCCTAATTAAAAATTTTTTTTTTATTTTACACAGCTTAGGCAGTGAGCTTTTCTAGCTGTACATCTCTTCTGTCATAAACGGCGATTCATTAAAAGTCTACGGGACCCTCGGGACCGTTCGTGCATCAATTACATCTGTGTCTGCTTTATAGTTATGCAATGCTTAAGTGCAACACACGGCATATACAATTCATTTAGAATAACGGTTTCGACTTTTCGCTCTGCATCCGATAGTAAACACCGACGGTATTTGTCGCCTGGAAAAAAAAAAGAAAGAGAGAAAGAGATAGATGCAAAAATTTCGACAAGGACTGACCTGAGAGAAATCTGCGGGCAGGAGGAGGAGGAGGAGAGGGGAGGGGGGTTTAAATGAGGGCAAACGAATTGTCGCGGTGCATAACCGTGCGATCGCCGCTTATGTTAATTACATGACCGTATCGTGGTTTTACGGTCATCATCTCTATATATAGCAGTGACATTGGTGACTCATATATCTCTAACATATATACATATATATTGCAGCCAGACTAAGAGGGAGCGGGGGGTGGGAAGAGGGGAGGGAGAAGA